ATTGTGGAAATCCAAATGATACTCTGCCAAAAATTTCTGATAGTTATATGAAATAAAAGATATGTCTGGAATTGGGAAAACACAGGAGTGGAAACCCTACAGTTGTACAATAAGAGATAAACTGTGTGTGCATCGAATAACTGACAATGTGTGTGCAGTAAGTGGTAGTTTTTAACAGCCTAGCATGCACTTCAAAGTCTGTGTTTTCCTTTGTTCACAAAGAAATATCAGAGTCCTACCTTTAAAGTCTAATTTTTTTTTTTTAATTGATGCTGAACTCTTAGAAGTGGTATTCAGATTTTTTAGGACATTGGCATATCTGTGTTTGTGATCAAGGTGGAGGTGCTAACTGGAGCAATAGTTGACGCTCTGTAATTAAAGTACTGCTGCGTGTGTATTGGTTGCATTGGTTGGCTTATACAAATGCAGCCATACCTCTGTTCTGGATTACGGTGTCCACAAGCTTGGTTGAACCAAAGTATTTAATGTACAAAATATTACTTTGTATTTCAGGGTCATCTTCAGCCATGCCTGGGGTCAGTAATTTGGGACAGTCCAGCTCCAGTAGTCCACGGATGTTTCCTCAGACCCAGAACATGATTCAGATGGGACCTGGGCACAGTTCTGTTCCTCCACTCCAGTCGGGCTCCAGTCAGCAGGATCGGGGCGTGACTCAGTATACCAATATGCAAAACATTCAGCGAGGGGGATTATACAACTTGGCTTCTGGTATGACACAGATGGTTCCCCAGCATGCAGCTCAAAGTGCCAACGGGCAGCCACCGATGCAGAGACAAGGCAGCTTGGGCCAGGGTGCTGCTGTTCCTGCTGGGTATGGGCAAAATACCTTAGCAAACTCAAGTATTTCTCAGCAGCACAATAAAGGTGCTCTGAATCCAACCTTATCTAAGCCACAGATGGCAAGAGTGCCAGCGGCTATGGGGGCTCAAAATCCATCTTGGCAGCACCAAGGTATCCCTAATATTAACAACCAGACACAAGCAAACAGTGGCTTAGGACCGTTTACTACCAACTCCTCTTTCCACATGCAGCAAACTCATCTAAAGATGGCCAACCAACAGTTTGCCCAAGGAATGCCTCAGGTAAGCCTAAGCACCAGCAGACCGATGACCTCCATGAATGCTGCTGTCTCTGGGCAGATGTTGTCATCATCCTTAGGTGCTCAGCAGCGGACAAACCCACCTACTCAACAGCAGGTACCCTCACAGCAAGTCTTGCCTGGCATCAACCAGACTGTTCCAGATCTGAATGCTTTCAGCCAGAATCCAAATCAGCAAATGCCCAACAGAGGTAATCTGCACTGTAGTCAAGGGTACCCTGTGAGGACAACCAGTCAAGAGCTGCCTTTTGCCTACAGCGGTCAGTCGGGCAATAATGGACTTCAGAACTTAACTGGTGACACAGATCTGATAGACTCATTGCTGAAAAACAGGACTTCAGAGGAGTGGATGAATGATCTGGATGAGTTGTTAGGGACTCATTAAAATGGGGCTGAGGGTGGGGGTTCTACTTTTTAATTATTTCATGAAATATAAACAACACTTGGACCAAAAAACCTGTGGCATTGAGGAGACTTGCAGGCATTAGAGGTAAATGGTTGGGAAAGGGACTGGAGCTGCTTCTCAATGAGTGTTGATAGGTGGTGATGGCGCACCAAGCAGGTCCGCTGGAGTAGTTTGCTTTGTCTTGGTGTCTCTAAGGAGTCGCACACTTGAACAGGTCAAAAAATCCTGTGCGTGTCCTCGCCAGCCTTTCAGAAATCTCACTTGCAGTGTTCTAAAATGAATTTTTTTTTAATTATTTAAAAATAAAATTCCACAAGAAATAGTGCAGAAAGAAAGCAAATAGTTGCACAAATTGTGTTTAGGACGTAGTCTCCTGCGGCTAGTACTTGCAATAATTATTTGTTCATAGCTTGACATGCTGTTGTAGTACAGTCCATCAAACTTCTGACTTTGAATTTGAGAAGAGGCTGTATGCACCTGAGTATGCTTGCAAAATGTTTTGAGTTCTTTTCCCCATTGCTGAAGCGAGTGCCTGTACTCTCAATAAGCAAGTGATATTTCACAGTAAATATTGCTAGATGCTGGTAATAGATGAAAGAAAGTATTAAAACCTGGCCAGTTAGTCTAGGTAGTCATCTTAATAGATTGTAGTCTTTTAAGCTGCAGTTTGCACTCTGTTGTAGAGAGGCACAGTTCTTGGCTTATACCTTGCTGTGTTTAAAGGGGGGAATTTCTTATGGGAGAACTTTTAAACTATAGTAGGTTTAACATGAATTGTAAAGCCATTTACTTTGCACCTGTTTCTTCATAACTTATTTCCAAAGGTAGTTGTATTTAAATGAAGGCTTTGCTTCATGACAGCTCATCTAGTTTTCTTTGTTGTAAAAAGTAAAACTAACTTTTGAGAGCAGTTCATTCCCCAAGTGGTTAGCAATGAGCACAAGACTTTGTCACTTCAGGACAAAAATGAGGAAAAAAGGAATTTGGCTGAGAGGTGGGAAGTCCTTATCAGCAATAATAGCACAGGCAGCCTGGGAGGATACTTGTATCAGGGTTGCTCCAGTATGGAAGTCTCCCCCTTTAAATACCTTTTTGTTTTTTTAATGACTGGGTTACGAGTTTGATAATCTTTCTACAGTCTGGTGGATTTACTTCTTTAATATCCCTTGAAGCTGGTTCTTCAGCTCATCCTGAGGAGACCTCTTATCCATAAGTTGGGGTCAGTACCAGAAAGGACAAAAACCACAGTGGGAACAGTCAGTGTTCCAAAGTCCTTACTTTCTACCAAAAAAATCCCTTATCCACCAACAAACCACCTTGCCTTAACCTTTATTTTAAAAGGAAAATAAAGTTGAAAGCTTTTGTTTTAAATGCACAAATACCTCTTCCCTTTCGAAATCCACTCATTTAAACTTTCTAACCAAACCCAGCATTGTGATTTAAAAGCAATTTCCTTCAACACAGACTGGCTTCTTCAGGAGTTTTCTGCACTGCAGAGATGTGTGAGAGGGTTTTTTCCAGAGTGGGTGAAGGGAAGTGAAAGGTAACATAGATTTCAAAGAAGGAAAATATTTTACTGTATCTGCAGCTCCTTTTGAGACAATTTGCACTTTTAAAAACTGCTTTTTTAACACTAATACTTTAGCCCTTTCCAAATATGCATGGAACATGGTTTGTCCAGCACACTTACCTAGTGTGGATGAATTACCCTCTGTTGGACAGATCTGATGTATCATGTTGAACTGTGGGTGAAAGATGTGCATTGATCAGTGGGTCCCACCATTGAATAGTGGATAAAACTTCACTGAAGCAGACTTAATCCCTCATAGAGCTTTTGATAACGTAAAGATTGTCTTTGGATGGGAAGACGAAGGTGTTAGTTGATGACACTTCTGGTATTTTGTAGAATAAGTAGTTGAGATGCAAATAACTAATGCTAACTTTTCTTATACTGGCAATGTAAGAAAAGAGCTAGTGAGTTTGGTTTACTGTTTCAGTTAAACCAAAACCTGGTCCAAGGTAAGTGTCATTAGAAGAATATAGATATAAACTAGCAATGGCAGGGGAAGGAGTGTTTGCTGTATTTCTATTTCTAAGGGTTAACTTTGCACCAGTGTGCCTTCCCTTCCTGTTGGGGGTGCTTGGGACCTCAGAATTTCAGGTGACATCCTTCAGTGTCACTATTTTTTTTTCTCCCCCTTACAAACACTTGAGAGAAGTTACAGGGTAGTAGGATTCAGCTCTTGTTTCTTCCCTGTTTAGGTTGTGGTGAAATCTGCTGCATTTTCCAGTAGATTTTGCACACAGGCTGTGTTCTGAGTAAGTCAAAATACAATCCATCCAGTTGTGATTTTCTTAATTGGAGTTAAAGAGCATCTGCTGTTTGCATTATTACTACCAAAAAAAGCAATCCAGCTAAATGTCCAGGAAAATGCAGGTGTGCTCTTTCCTCCACTGTTTCTGGAAGCTAAGGTGGATATTGCCCTGCTTGACCACCGGGTTTGTTCAGGAAGGTATCTAGGTTCAATGACAGGGCCTTTTCATGGTACTGTTGAAGTAAAATTCAGTGTAATTCTAGGCAAACTGGCTTATGATGCCCATTGGTCTTCATATGTGAACAGGATCCAAACAGCATTTAACCTGCTAGGAAAAGCAGCCATCCCTTCTGGTTTGGGTCCCTGTCCACATAATACAGTCGGACCGCTGGAAAGACGGTGTCACTGTAACAAAGTGGAGACAGTTCAATGGAAATGAACATACGGTTTAGATGTCCATAGGTGCACAGGTAGGGCTGGGCTTTGCCTTTGTGCCCTTGAACATGTAGCTGTCTATATATGCACTTGGGCTTTCCATTTGCTGCAGCTTCAGAGCAATAAAACTTATCTCCCCTGAACTGTACCTAGCCAGCCGCCCATGGCTTTATTTATGAACTGCGGTTTTGGCTGGGTAGGAAAGGTGAGAGTGTCACTGTGCAACATCCACTGCCTTCCAAAAACCACGATTCAATTGAAAAGGGTGCTCAAAATTTTGTTATACACATTTCCTTTGTGTAAATAAATGTTTACAATTTTATATTAAAGATTTGAATAAGAGTTAGATCTTCTGACTGTATATTTTTTACTTTTTATAGATTTTAAAACTATAATTCTTTATATATGTGTTTGGGGGGTATTATGGTAAGTTTTATGCTTGTAAATTGAGAACAGTTGAATTTGATGCTAACCTTTATGAATTTTTGTCATTGAAATGTATAAAGAGTCCATTAATCCCCTTATTCTTTTACTACAATTACTGGTGCACACCAAAAAGAAATCCTTCACTTCTGTTTTATCATTATAAAATAAATATTTTGCTAGTGTATTAAACATACATGGTGTGACTTTATACATTTGTGTGAGCTGAGCAGAGTTCAGCATTGCTGTTCCTAGTGAGATGGCTCCCTTCATCCTAACACAGTTCTGGTAAGCCTGTTAAGCCTGTTCTGCTGTGTCTTATCAATTCTTACGTGTCAGAAAGTCCATCTAAACAGGCCACAGCTGGATGAGGCCTTGGAAAACTTCAGTTTGAAAGCAAGGCTTGATGCTACACCCGCTGCTTCTGGACTGTTGGGTTTTTAGTGCAGCCTCAGGCCTTAAGCTGGGAGATGGGACTGCAGAGGGGGTTGCTGGTGATAAAGATGTTGATGACCACTGGGACCTCACAATGCAGAATTGTAGAGTTCCAAAAATATGCTCAGATTCCCTCAGCAGTAACAAGCTTTAGCGGATCAACCTGATTTCCTTGAGACTGGTAAAGAGACAAGGATTATGCGTGTTTGATGTACACCCAGAAAACCCCACCAAACTGATAAATGAGGAACGTTTACTGCAAGCATGTTAAATGTTTATGAACAGGAAACAAAATACTGACTTAAAAGCTGGTAAGGTCCCCAAGCCGCTGCATAGAGCTGGTGGGTTGAAGAGGCTGTGGAAAATAATGGCAAATAGGTCTTTCAGATGCTGCTGGATTGTTGGTCCTCTTCAGATGGATACTTTACCTGTATGTTGGTGAGAAGTAAAGCAAGGAGGTGTGATCCCATCAGCGCACAGAGGAGCCTGGCTTTGGTGGTGTGTGCTTGGATGTTAATACGTTCTTGTTAACAAGTTATTACTTGACAAATTACACCAAACTGAGCATTTCAAAGCAGTTCTTGTCATGAATCATAGCACCTGCAGCAGACCCAAGAATTCAGCTCCTTGTATGTAGTGTTTCCTGTTTGTCAAGTGCGCCTTTTAACAGATGATATCTAGTCATAAGTTCTAAACTGATATCTCCAATCTCTCCAACCACAGATTTAGCAGTAGTGATAAAGGAGAATTTGCAAAGCATGACACATGCTTTTCTTGCAAAGGCTGTATTTCTTCTACATGTTACCATGATTTCAAGCATTCCCCTATGGTATAAGAAGTTTAATCAGCTTCAAACAGCGAAGAATCATTCTCCAAGCATTGGAGCTGGTGTTTTATACAGCTACTCTGTGTAAAGCAGCCTTCAGATTTCCTCACAAAGTGCACCCTGTTTTGAGGATATTCCTACTCTGCAAGTTCTGAGCGGTGTTTGGGGGCAGGAGGGGACCTGTAACTTCAGGAGCTTATAAAGAACTAAATGTAATAATAATTTGCAATACCAGGACGAGCTGCTTCTAGTTTGTGGGCAACTGTGAAGTTTATGTACTTTATAGCTTTTGTTTTATTGTCCCCTTAAAGCTGCTGCCTTGTATTTAATGTTGAGTGAAACTGTCCCGTTGGAGTTTTGTATATGTTTTTCCAAAGACGTTAAGGAGTCTCAGCTCAGCAGCAGATTTATTTATTTATATAGTGCTTGACGTTAGTGCTTTTCCTGAGGCAAATGTAAATCTGCAATGGAAATGCTTTCTAAAGCCTGGGTTGTTTGCTGAAATGGTGTGAGCACAAGTAGATTGCCGGTGGCATTTCCTCTCTGACTTTCATCCCCAGATGAAATCTTTGGTCACCAATAGATTCTGTTAAGGTAAATTGCTTTATTTCTATTTCAGTGTGTGTCTGTTAGCAGCGTGGAGGATCTAAAGTCCCATCATACGAGTGTTTTGCAGAGAAAGGGAGCAGTTTTGCTATTTATATGCATGGCTTTTCTTACAGAAAGTGCACAGTTGTCTGTTTGAGTTAGGTTTTCAACATGATCGTTGAGGTGATGAAGAGCCAAACCAGGAGAACAAACTTGCTGCATCCCACAGGAGAAACTGGAGGCTTGGTCACTGCTGGTCGGTATTGTGCACGAATTCTGTACTGAGGTTTTGGGTGGGACTGTACACAGAGAAAGGCAATGGCTCAACCATGTCCCGTGCCCTCTCTTCACCAAAACTAAGGGAAATGTTAGTTGTTAATGACTGATGCCTTTCTTCTCCTTTTTGGCTTTAAAAACTTCAAAGTCAGAATAGCTTTACACATATAAAGTTGCTCCAAAACACAGGGTAACTTTTGGAACTGATGTGTATTTTGCTTTTGTGGAGTGGGGAGAAAAGTTACTCATGGCTCAAATATTGCTGGTTTTCAAGTTTTGCATTTTACAGCTCTAATGTCAGGCAGTGTTTCTGAGAGTCCACGTGTTTCGACATCCTCCCCTGCCTTCCATTTGGAGCTGAGAAGTTTTAATTTGTATGTTAGCCAGGAAAAGGTTTGCATGGCAGAATTGTAGCAACATCAGAACACTACAGTAGGTGACTGAGTGCTAGGAAAGAACCATACTTTTAGTTGGTACACTTACATCATTAATAGGATAAAACGTGAATGCTCTTTTAAATAGTCAGAATCCAGTAACAGAATTAAGCTGCTTCAGTTGGAGTCTAGAAAACCCTTCCACGTGATCAACTCCATTACTTGGAAAAAGAGCAGGTCAAGCCATTAATTTGTAAATGCTTGTTAATAGTTTTTACAACCTCACCCACAATGTAGATGCTTTAGAGCTGATGAAAACTAGCAGCAAAAGGGCTGAAAAATACTCAGTTATCTTTCCATTGCCAGCACTGTAGAACTCAATCACAGTACAAAGTCTGTAAATATAACTGGAAGGATTTCTCCTTTTGTGCATGCAGAACTTCTGCTGTTCTGTGGTTCAGCAAAAGGCACTGGTCTGAAATCACCATTTCCTGGTGACTGTCTGCCTTGGGAAACTGTGATGTGGAGAGAGTTAAGCTGTGGAGGTGGAAACACGTGTTGCTGCAGAGGAACACCATGGGCCCAGTGCTGTCCTGCAGGGAGGGCTGGGGAGCAGCCGGACCCATCACATCTGCCTAGGGTTTGGGCCACCATCAGCAACATGAGGCATCAGATGGACTTGCTGGCAACCATCACAGTTTTGGGAGTCCTGTAGCAAAGTAAATGTCCTTTCTATAATGCTAGGTACTATTAAGCTAATTCTCTTAAGCTTTGTGGAACTTGGTTCCTGTGTTTTGCTTGGAGTCTCTGTGGAGTAAAAGTTGGTTTAAAGATGCAAATGTTTGGCTGTTCATGGCAGAAGTTTTGTGTCTGTGGATGCCTGTTACTCAATAGGGACTGAAATCATCCACAAACCTCAAAGGCAGCATAGAATAGTTAGGGTTAGAAAGGACCTTAAGATCGTCCAGTTCCAACCCCCCTGCCACGGGCAGGGACACCTCACACTAAACCATCTCACCCAAGGCTCTGTCCAACCTGGCCTTGAACACCGCCGGGGATGGAGCATTCACAACCTCCCTGGGCAACCCATTCCAGTGCCTCACCACCCTCACAGGAAAGAATTTCCTCCTTATATCCAATCTAAACTTCCCCTGTTTAAGTTTTAACCCGTTACCCCTTGTCCTGTCACTCCAGTCCCTAATGAAGAGTCCCTCCCCAGCATCCCTATAGGCCCCCTTCAGATACTGGAAGGCTGCTCTGAGGTCTCCACGCAGCCTTCTCTTCTCCAGGCTGAACAGCCCCAACTTTCTCAGCCTGTCTTCATATGGAAGATAGCATCCTAGAAGGAAATGAGATTTAAGTTTTACTTTTAAATGTAAAATAATTTCAACAGTAGAATGTATTCAAAGTATTTTCTGTGATTGAATTTTAGCAGGTAATTTGTAGCTTAAGAGTGGGTGGAGGTGCTAAAACAAAGGCAGGTTAATAAACATGCTGATGAAGAGATCAGTGTGCAAACATATATTGTATGTCTATAGAAAAGCGTACGTACTTCTCTGTGACCAATGCTATGATGTGTTTGTAGAGCTCAGCTGCACAAAGCAGATGACAGGGTGGTTTGACAGCACACAGTAATTTGGAATATAATGCAAGCCCCCTTCTGTTCTGAATCAGACAGATGTCTTCAGAGAAACTGTAACTTCTTGTTACTTCCATTGATGGGTCTGGTTTAGACCTCTTAGAAGCAATAGCCAAGCTTTGTCTACCTCTTGTGTTTAATTGTAGGTCCTTTGAGTGACGGCCTCTCCACCCTGGGCTTCAGGAGGGTCATGGAAGGGGACATTCCTTCTGCTTGGGGTGGCGACAGAGCCCCCATTTTACTAAAATCTTCCCATTTCAACAAGGCAAGGTTGGTTTGTGGGGTTTTTAATTACTGAATTAATTCACTGTAGAGCTATCACACCTCTGCTTACAAACGGATGTGAATCTGAGCAGCCTGAGGTATTTTTAGCCATCAGATGATCCATCTCTTAATATAAGCATTATTTAAAACACAGGCTCCTTGAAGAATAGAGCTCAAGATTTCTGAGTTATCTGTAATTTCCCCTCAAACAATTTACAGAGAAATATCTGCGACTGGAAATGGAAGATACTTTTGTCATATGAATTTTGCTTGTTACTAAGCGGGATGGAGGGAGTGTTTAGTGTGCAAAGGGAAGACAGGAAGAGAAACTGAAATTGAGTTATGGAAATGCTGCTAAGCCCTTTCCACTGGGAAGCCCTCAGTAACAAATCCCTGGATAGCAGTTTTGTCTCAAATACATTTGTTTTATGAGAGCTTCAGGTGTTTTTTTACAGGTTGCAGCCTTAGGCATTTAACTTCCATGCCATGCAAACCATGGTGTTAGATAAATCGCAAGCACCGGCACCCTCTTATCTATGTTAAATTGGATAAAGTAGCCTGATTTTAATAATCTCTGCATGGGAAGTGAAGAAGCAGTTACAAAATACTGTGTTTCCTTTCCCTCTCGGTAGTATGAACTATGTGTGCCAATGTCACCTTGAGTCAGGGCTGTGCCGTGCCTTTTCTTGCGTATTTTGAAATGATGCTCAGTACGTGAGTACAGATCCGAGCTTCATTCCGAGAGGGCAGAGCAGTGAAACATGACATGTGCTGTATGTACAGATCCTCTTCCATCTCATCCTGATGCAGGCCGCCTGGTTTGATGGCTGAGTTTAGTGCAGTGTTGGTTGATTTTTAGTTTTCATTGTGTTTTCTGGGAGCTCACAGTTTCTACCTTCTCTCAAGTAACCTTCCTCTTTTCTAATTTAGTTATGCTCAATTTAGCAAAGCTCTGAGCTTAGTGCCCTGGGGTGCGTGCCCCTGCCCTGTATTGAACGCTATAGCAGAGCAGGACTAAAGTTTAGGTGGGTTTTTTTCCTCTTTCTTATGGCTTCAAAGGAAATAAAGCTTATGCAATGTCACAAACAAAGAGCTTGTTTGCCAGGTTCATTCAGATGTGGCAGCTAGCAGCTCCAATATGATTTGCCAAGTTTGTGGACATAACCAACCAGAGAATGAAGGTCTGGCTGAGGAGCAAAGTGCCGGGAGTGCTCAGCCCGTGTGAGCCTATAGAGGCATTTAACCTACAGACATGAATCACAGAAAACTGCTCTGGAAGGCTCTGCAGAGGAGGTTGAACTCTGTTCCCGGGAAGTCCACACTGAGAAGGCTCATGCAGTGTGGGTTTTTCAGCTCCTCGTTCTGAGAAGCTGATTTGAGGGTGGTTCTTCATCCTTAGTGCTTCACCCCTACAGCAGGTTTTGAGGACAGCTAGCCATCCCCTAAAGGCTCTTGCTCCTCTTGGGGGGTTGTTTTATATTATTATATACATATATTTCTATTGTTAGCCCTAAGTGTAAGAGATGGTGCAGTTGGTACCAAGCAGGATAAAAATCACTGCCCAGCACAGCCAGGTATATGCCACAAGCCAGAGCTATGCATTGATGCAGTAACTTTAGCTCAGTCCATTTCTTGAGCAGTGACTGGGACAAGACCCTGAGAGCATTCAATAGTTGTATCTGTCTTGTCTTTAATCTTGCAGCATCTGTCCCTACTGTCTCTTCTCTATCCTGCTGTTCTGCTTTTATCTTTGTTAGAATGAGACAGTCCACAAGGCATTCCTTGCAGCCTGGCTCCTTGTTCAGTGCTCTGGAAGTGCTGCTGCATTAGGACCTTGCTAATTCGAATGACTCACTCATGGCGTGCTGCCACAGCCACCAAAGCGACTGGTTTTATAAGGTGTTTGTCTCCTGTATGAAAACTCTCATTTTCAGAGGCAGCAATGTAGTAGTGCACCTCAATACTTGAAACATCAGTAGTTTCAAGTACTTTTATTGGCACATTTGTTCCAGGTTGTGTGCGACAGCATGGGCTACGAACCTAGGCAGTGCCAGCTGTTTTCTTGTAACCACTTGTTTGATCCCAGGCTAGGTAAAGCTTGGCTAAATACAGCGCTGCTGGACTGTTGCCCTTCTGTGTTCTTTCCTTTTACAGCCTATTTCGCACTGCAGGTGATCCATGCCCGATGGCAGTACAGGATCTCCCCTCCCAGGACAACAGGTCACCCTGAATTTGAGCTGGTCTTCAGAGCTCAGTACGACTTTGACTTCCCTGTGGTGAATCTAGATATGACTTGAGTCAAGTGTCGCTACCGGGAAAGACTGGAGTCACCCTCAAATCACCTTTTCACTTGCTACCACTGATACTAGGTATTGTGAATTAGGGTTTTTAAATGCTTTGTCTGAGGGTGATTCACTTTGCTCTGGCTGCAGTGTTTCTGTTCATCCATGACAATCCTCCTTCTGGCACTGCGAGAGGCAGCCGCGTTACAAATTAGTGGTTGCATGAAGGAGGTGCATTAATGAATTATAATCATTAAGCTTAATGTTGCCTCCAAATTAATACCCTAATATTTGCTTGTAGGTTGTTGCTGTTAAACTACAGCAAAGGGCCTTGCTGGCAGAATCAGCCACCAGGATGTTTTAGGTTTTGTCCTTTTTTTAAGCCCTTGTCCTGTGAACATCAGTGCTGAGGCCAATTCGTTCTGCTCTGTTCTGATGGAGAGAGCAATGCTGGAGCTAGACTAGAAGTGTTCACAGATCAGCTTCCAGCAAGCACCAGATTCCATCTTTCATCTCAGTCATTGTGTTTCATAAGCAATTGGAAGGAACTGGCTGGAGCTGGATTGAAGGGTAGCTCAAGCATGGCACTAAATCCTGAACAAAACAGCTGTGTGTCCTTGCCAGTGTGTGGGAAACATTTGAGGAGTGATACGGGGAGGAAGGAAAAGGGAGGAAAGGAAAAGGAAAGGAAGGACTTGGCTACAGGTTGCATTCTGCTGAGTTTGATCTGGCAGAAGGTTCCCTCTTACAGCATGAGCTCCCTGAATACTGCTAAGGAAGCTCTACCTGTGCATGTGTTATATATGAGGATGTGCATTTAACTCTCATCTCTGGTTCTCACCAGGGTGAATTGCTCAGAGTACTTCCCAATCTTCACCTGGCTCCTCTGGGTTGCTGGACTCTTCTTCCATCAAGGTGATGGGGATGAATCACAACATGCACAAAGCAAAAAGCCCAGTTAAAATCCCATTGTGACTCAGGTGTGTCCCCTCTGCACCCATGACATCGTTACTTGGGTAATGCAGTCCCCTTTGCCCAGACAGACCAACGGGGCCCAACCCCAATGTGCATAAACCTGCTGGGTAGCAACTGAGAAATCCCGCTGGGGATGCTCTGCCCCATCGGGACTCGGTCCCATCTCCCCACAGCTGTGGCTGCGGCGTGCGGGCTGCTCTGCCTCTACACCCACCTCAGGTACTTCCAGGGATACGCTGCGGCTGCGCAGGGACGGTGAGTACCCAGCTGGGGCTGTGGCAGCCCCAAACCCACCGAGGGAGCTGGGTGTGGGATGCAGCCCTGGGGCAGGTTTCCTTACCACAGGTGGGACCAAAGGCAGGTTTTACACCTTTCTCCTCCTCTCCTGTCCCTATGTGCTTGTGGCCTCCTCCCTGGCTCGGGAGGGTGCAGTATGCTTCATGCCCTGGGTCTGTTGGTGGTGTCTGACGGTGTTTCTCCCTGTGCAGGTTGGACTCATTGTATGCCAGTGCCCGGGTGCTGGGGCTGCTGCTGGGGCTGGCGGTGCCCAGGCTCCTGGCACACTTCCTGCTCCCCTGCTGCTCCCCATGGATGGCAGTGCTGGTGCGGCCCCTCCAGCACCTCGGTGCCTGGTGAGAGGGGCCATGGCTCTCCCAAACCCCCCCTCGGTTCTTACCTTTGAAGGGAGGTGGATGCTGGCACTGCTCTGCGTGTGGAGCTCCACTCTTCAGAGAGAATAGCCCATCTAGAAAGCAAAGGATGTCCAGCTTCTGCTCCTGATGATGAGCTTCACTGCTGGGTTTTGTAGCACTGTGCTGTCTAACCTCCAATACCTTTGGCTGTGCCCCACAGAGCATGGGTTAACCTGTAACCTCACTCACTGTTGTCACTCCTCCTTACTGCTGTACTGATGGATGGTGAAGGATCACACCACGGATATGCAGAAAAATAAGTCCCTTTTCTCAGTAGAAATCACCTGTGATTTCCAAAGGCGGCTGGGGACTGAGCAGTGCTTTGGGAGTATCAGCTATTGATGAGTGCTGAGGAATAGCTTTATTTAAAGTTTAGGGGCTACATCTGGTCCCTGGTCCCCAGGGATACCTACCAGGCCCCTGGAGGACAGAGCCAGAGCAGGTGCCTCGCTGCCACAAGTGACTCTCACTGCCGCACCAAAGCTTTAAACTTAGCTTTTATTACAGTGCACATTATTTTATATATTTATATAGAGATGTACTTGAAAAATCAAATGTATCCAATAATAAAAAATACAGCACATGAAAGTAGTATAATGCATTCCAGTGTATAGCTGAAGAGACAGCGGGATTTACACTAATCCCTACTAGTTTTGAACTGGGCTACCTCTGCTTTATTCCCCCCCCCCCCAAAAAAAAAAGAACCAATCACACCAATCAATAACTGAAACAATCCTTTTAAAAACCATCGTTTCTGCACTCAATCTCAAGGCATGAAGACACTGGAGACTTCACTGTGAGTGAAGGGGCTGTGTTCAATGCTGGCAGGCACAGTGTGGCGTATTTCATAGTTCTTTTTGTTTTCCCTGCCATACTCGTAGCTCCAACCCCTTCGGATTCGTTCCTCCTCTGCTGAAGGAGGGTCAAGTCTTCACCCTCACTTAATCCTCAGCTGTGGCCAGGACTGTTCAAGGCAGACCTTGGTCCCTGCCCGTCTCCATCCCAGCGCACCCATGGGGTCAGCCAGCGGGACTCAAGGTACCCAAGCGCCCCAAGTACAGCCAGAGGTGGCCCTGTCCTGGGCTGAAGGTGCTTTTTGTTCCCATGCTTACCAGCACTCACCCCGACCCCAAACCCCTGTGTCCGTGTGGCCTGAGCTCAGCAGCTGCACCCACGAGGGGCATCGCTCTCTGCTCCGGATACCGGGGTTTGCCTGGTTCTGCTCCTCTTCTGGAGCAGGCGATGTCCTGGCCCTGCAGCTCAGGCCGAGGATGGCGATGCCGGATGGCTGAGGCCAGCTGCGCTGCCCTTGCACCCGGGCGAGGCGCCCCGGGAGGAGGGAGCGGGAGGGGAGAGAGCAGGACGGGATCCACGTGTGTCCATCCACCCTTCCGCAGGCAGGGTCACTCTGCCTTCTTGATGAAAATCTGCAAGCAGAGAGCGGAGGGCCGGGATCAGAGGGAGCGGGGCAGGAGCCCCGGGGCATCCCGCTGGGGATGGAGCCCCGCTTACCTCGCTCAAGATGATCCACACGGGGGAGTCGGTCTGGATGGACAGCCTGATGGCCTCCAGCGGCCCGAAGGATGGGTCCACCTCGCCCTCTGCAACCCCCTTGGAGAAGGAGCCTGGTGGGGAGAGCACAGGGATGACACAGGGACAGACTCCTCGCATCCAGCCCCATCCAAGGGGACCACAAACAACTATAGCAGCTCCCCACCACAAGATGGGCTGAAAACCATCAGTGTGGACGTCAATACAGTGCAAAATGCTATGCTTTAAGGGACAAAAAATCTGCTAAACAAAGCAAAATGGGGAGTATTTGGCTACACATCACTGCTTACAGGCATGGGGCAGAGTGGAACAGCATGGTCCTGTAAGAGACAAATGTTGGTTCAGTATCTATGCCATGGAGATAATAATGTCCCATTTTTTGGTTGCAATTTTACTCTTCTTGTTTTAAATGTAACTGGAAGAAGCCAAATAGCACTGCAGAGGAATGTAAAGTGGCAGAAAGCCACACGTGCCAGGAACTTTGTCTATTTAAAATAAGAAGCCTTAGCAAGGACAAGTCTTAGCTTTACCACGCACCAGCATTTCCCCGTAGGCTGCAATGACTTATTCTTGTCCAAGGGTATGGCAAGCACTAAAACAAACTCAGGTAGCAGGAGACAAAGTCCAAGCTTCAAGTGTTGTGAGCATTGACACAGGCTGTGGAGGAAGGGTGTGAACTTGCCTGGGGTGAAGGTTTTTAACAGCAGATCAGGCAAATGGATAATCTGAGTAATTTGGTCCCAGCTCTGAGCAGAGACAGGCAGAAACATAGGGCTGCAAACTACCTGAAGAGGACACCTACTCCAAGAGGAGAGGGAGAGCAGTGGAGGAGAGGAAAAGACAATTAAATCCTCTTCCAACCTGGCTCCTGACAAGCAGAAATAACTCTTTGCCAAGTGAACAGCACTGAGGGTCTTGATTCCCTGGAGGGTGAGGCTATGGGCTGTGTTATCAAACCCAGTGGGCAGCTGACCACCCCGCACCCTGCTGTACCTATCTGGATGTAGCCATCCAGTGTCCTGCGGTATTTGAACACTGCACCTCTTCCCTCCTGCAAGGCTTCCTTATCCGACTGCAGGCTCTGTGGGAAGGAGAGGAACGTTGTGCAAGGCCATAGGAAGAGCCACTCAGAAGCTCCAAGCAACAGCAGCAACCCCAGAGCTGCCCTCGCCAGCACCTTGTCCCATTGCCTGACACCTCAAGCTTCGTTCTCCAAAACAAGAGGACATTTGATGCCCTCATGCTGCTGCTTCCATTGCACCTCTCTGGCTCCATTCCCTCCCCTGCAGCCCTCCCACCCATCCAACATTCCCTGTGTAGGCAGGGATGGCTCCCACAGTGATGGCTCAGGACAGTATCGCTGCTCCCGAGGTGGTACCACACCAGGCGTGACCCCCCGGCAGCACCTCTCAAAGGCACTCGAGCCTTGTAAAGATTTTCCTGACGGCGTCAAGCAGTTCCCTTCTCTCAATCCTCTTGTGCTTCCCACTCCACCCCCAGCTCCATCCTCAATAAAACACTTACGTCAAACGGCAGAACCTCCACAGTCGTATTGAGGAGTTTGTCTTCTGGGTGCTCGATGTTCCCGCTGCGGAAGAAGAACCTGTGACAGAGACCAAAGCCATGGAAACCCACACTGAGCGAGGGGTGACACGAAGGCTTCCCCCCAGCTGAATGTTCAGACAGCTCACCCTAACAGGGCCCTTCCCAAAAAACCCACGAGCACGTGGTTTGGAAGGAGACCTTCTGCACCAGGTTGGATACAGCATGGACTGCTCACAAGAGCAGGAAAGCAAAGGGCTCCAGCAAATATGGCCCCACAAAAAAAGGGTCAAGTTATTATCCCCCTGGAAAAGCACCACTTCCTCCTCCTGGGCAGCCGAGCAGGAGACAGGCAAAACATTCAACATGAGCCAAAAGGGAAGTGTCCCTGCATGCCCCAGGCTGTCCCTTGCCCAGCCCCATTGACCTCCCCCAAGCACTGGCCTTTCGATGCGGAGTGGTTTGAAGAATCTGAATCTGATGAAGTCTCCGGCAGTGGGAGTGAAGGCCCAGAAGAAGTCCTCCCGCAGGTAAGCCTTCTCCAAGGTGAAGTGCTGGTAGGTTTTCAGGCTGGTGCTCACCTCCGCGGGAGGGTTCACGTGCTCTTTGCGCAGGGCCTGCTTGCCAAAGTCCTTGTCCTTGGTGGGCACAAAGCGAAGAGGCAGAAAAGGGTCATGAGCTGCTCTCACCCATGAGGAACACGGGCTCCAGCAACAAAGCGCTGCAAATTAAAAGCTATTTGCACAGCACAGAATGATGAGAGATGGAAGTGATCTGGGAAAGGCAACAGCCAAGGCAATGAGTGACTGGATCCCAGGAGGACACCATGTCAGTAGAGGCAGCACAGAGAAGCATCACTGCTCTGCACTCTAATCCAGCACCAAAGAGCCCTTCATCGTCCAAGCATCCCTGCCCCAGGAGGACTGCAAACGGCCCTTACACCTGAGGAGAAGGGGGCTGTGAGGCTGACAACAGCATATAATGATTGGATTACACAGCCTGATGGGCACTGATACAAACTGGATTACACCATCCATTTACCTGGGGATCAGGCAGACAGAGAATTGAGCACATAGACACACCTGGTGTCTGTGTGTGTCTATGGGTCCTGCACATATAGCTGTGTTCATGTTTAAATACACACACACAATTTAAGCTCTTACACAGAGAGCTCTAGTTCACCTATCAGCAAGCCCCAGGAACAAGGACTGGGGTAGGAAGGAAGTCAACCCAACCCAGGAGTCCTGTGTCTCCAGGGTTTGCCAGCAGATGCTTTGAAATCAATTGCATGAACCACAGTTTGGTGCTCGGGATGGGTAGCCAGGACTTGGAAGCTTGCAGTGACTCTTGGCACACATCACTGCCATTCTCCGAAGCAGGAGCTACACGAGCTCACTGTAACTCAGAATAAAACATAATCACTGCACAGAAATCCAGCTGCCACCAGTTGCTGTCACTGACTTCCCCACCCCAAAAGCAGCCAGTTCCTCGGTGCCTGCAGGCCAGGCCTGGCACAAAAGCCACATCTGCAGTTTGGACAGGCGGCTGGTACCCACCTTCAGCTTCTGTATCTTCCCAGCCAAGGAGGAGTGGGTTCCCACGTGCTGGAAGAGCGACGGCTTGAAGCGGATCCTCAGGTTTGCCTTCTGCCTGTCACAGTGTTTCTGAAATGAGACAATCCCTCAGTGCCCCAGACTTAAACCTCTGCAGTCAACCGCAACCCACGAGAGGAACAGACAAGGGTACGAGGAGTGACAGACATCCTTTCCTCCCCATCTCTGCACCCTTCTTTGCTGCTTTGGCTTTCATTTGGTAAGAAGGCTTTTAACCACACTC